TCTATATTGTTATGAGTCAATGTGCTGTATTTTGATGAGCAGGTCAATGCACAAACAATGAGTGAAATTACACTTCAATACTGCACATGAAATCGTCGAACAAGTGATTTATTATCCAAATGTTGTAGTCGATAATTATTTATCAGCAAAAGAGGGAGAGTATGACAGCTCTGCATGACTTTCGCAGACTTGACAAGTAGGATTTCTGCTATAAAAATAACTAATTATACAATTTTGCTGTATATTTGTACTCTTTCACCTGTTGTTTGGATTATATTTGCTGCAGTTCAATAATTAGGTGAGTTATTAACAGACCCAGTTAAACAAAGCAGCACTGAATTTCACACATAATGTAAAATGCAAATTCAAAATAAATAGTGCTAACATATGCCTACAGATGCAGAAGCAGACGAAATACCAACATTTTGACCTGCACCTATAAAGAAGTAACTAATGTACAGAAAAGTGGTGGCCAGTTGCTTTGGAAACATGCTCTTACACTTTGAGTTAAAGTTGGCACTGAACAATTTTGATACTAAGAACAACGCAAGACATCTGCACTATGCCATGTCAGATGTGAGCACAAGAACCTAGTTAACCAAAGTCAAGCACACTGAGCAACGGGAAATGGAACACTCTGTTCTCCATTGTTATTTATTTTCTGTCATTGAAGTATTTTACTTTGTATCAACATCTCATCAATATGTTTTATGTGAGGAGTTGAGCTAATTTACAGAACTCTTTGTGCAACTACTATATTCTGAAAACCACTTGGAGACTCTGATCCTGTCATCAGGAACACTCTTCTGTCCAGCAGATATTCTACAAACCGTTACCCACTGATCAACATGTAACCTTACAACAAGCTATTGTAAGAAGTATAAAAAATGTACAGTGTATTAACATTATTGTTTTTTTATTATTATTATTATTGCGCTTACAGTTTCATTTTAATGAAAGAACTTAGTAAATTCTCCATGCAAATTGATTGTTGTTCAACATGTCTATATTTCCTTTACAGTCATGGTAAAAACTTAATATCAGAACTTCAGTGTAATTCAGGACTTACAGGATTCACGGTAATTCCAGGAAACCATCTTGACACTTCATGTACAAGTTAATTTGACATCCCACGGTAAACAAAGTCTTCTTCTGTCAATGTTTTGTTCCACTACTCCGTGAACGGCTCACCCTTTGTCCATCTATGATTATGGCTCCAGTTGACTGAAAACGCACTAAACACGCGTACGCATTGCGGACCTATTTTTTAAGTGTGTTGGCGGAGCCAAGCTGAATTGTTTAGTTCGAGGAAGTCAAGGAGGATATTGCTTCTTGTGGTTAAAAACACGCAACTGTTTTGCATGACTGACATAACATGAGAAAGGCGATATTTTCCTGTTGATGATGACTTTGCTGTTTTATCGTTAACAAGATATAATAGTCTTCTTTAGAAAAGGAAACATTTTTTTTTAGTTATTTTTCTATAAAAGAATACATGTATATCATATTTTTAGATAGACTGTTCGTGGCTTTAAGTTACATTTGCAATCGCGTGGGTGCTCGCTATCAACAAACCCGTACTGCGGAAGTTTAAAATTGGGAGGTGAAACAAATTAGCGTTAGTATATGTATGATCAATTTATCGCTCGGCGGTTAAGACGTTTTTTTTTTTAGTAAATAGATTTAATGGGTTGCAGTTTTCATACTACGGAACTGTTTTCGATTAATTTCAGAAATTTAAAACTGTTCCCACAATTAACATTTCACGAAGGGAAAGTGCGAGCTATTGCTTGTTCTGGTTTTACCAGGATATAGAGTTATTGTGCCTTTAGACCTGTTTGCCATCGATTCAAGACTTTAATTCAAATTTAACTACGCGGTTATAATGAGCTTGTTGTTTGATAAATGGCACTCGTGCCATGCTTGTCATTAAATTTGCCGGCAATACACGGTTCAGGACAGTTTCCATGGAAACGGTCTGAATGGCAAAATCCCGACCAAGAAAGAGGCAATCAAGACTACCTTGCCATATAATAATGTACGTTATGTTTTTTTAGGCTCAAAAATCAACTGACACTGATGTTAATAAATATGTCGTAAGTGCTAAGGTCTTTGGCATCTCTCACTGACAACCTCCTGGGGAAGAAAATCATTGAAATTTATCACTAGGTTACCTCCTATACAAAATCACGTTTGGTGTGAACTAGTCTCTACCTATAAATGTAGTTTCAAAACGTCTTTACGATAGATGCAAATTTATTTCCTATTTACTGGAATTGCATCAACCCCAAAGCCCTCTCTCCTCCTGGATAAAAGCCTTTGAAAAACATGATTTACAGCAACTTTTACGAAACCACAATATCATATGGAAACAAGTTATACTAAAATAGGTTACAAAAATTCACAGCATGAGAAATCAGAAAGTGACGAAAGCAAATCCCTGACGGGAAGCCTGATCGCACTATCACATGAAAAGACAAAAGTCGCTCCATGAAGTTGATGAGGACTTCAAAAATTAGCCTTAATTACCTCGTGTTTATCATGCTAATATCAGGGAGCGTTTATTCCAGCGTCCATTTGTGTGAAACTACGTACTAAGTTACTTTTATTTCTGTTATATTATATTTTACCCACAGTTGTTGCCCATGCGCTTCTGTGTAGGCAATTGAAAGATCAAAAAACATCCCTCACATTTTGTAATCGGTTTCCAAATGAAGGAATATCTGGAAAAATTGAAGTTTCTTTTTTTCCTTCAAGTAACTCTTGTTTCTCTTTTATCGAATGAATCGATCTGGCTCAGTGTTTTGTTCAATTCTTCCAGCTGTCATGAAAAAGGCGGACCTTATGCCATTAGCGTTATTTTCTTTTATGAAGTGCTGTTTCCTCCTTGATTGCGAATTCTGATTTCAGTTTTGATGGTATGCTCTTTAATTTACGAAAAACAGTACATTGCATTATTTGCTCTTATCTAAGATCGAGATAAAGTCATCCCAAACTTTTTGCGTCTTTTATAGTTCAATTTGCATGAACAAAGCCTTGATTGTTATTGCTGTTTCAGCTGTCTTTATTGATTACTAGATTCATGTGCTAAACTATACGAAAACTCAATTAAACCCTTGCATGTGCTAAAATATACGCCGAAAGCTCAATTAAACCCATGTGCTAAAATATATGAAAACTCGATAACTCAGTTTGCTTGACCTCGATTAAACCAATATCAACTGAGGAAATTGAGAAATAAATCTACTTGTGATCAGAAATTAAAGAGTTGCTGTCACTAACAAATTTCAATTAACTTTGGCTGTATTCTTCAATTTACAATCAGTACAAAGTCATGTTGTTTTCTTTTGATATAGCTATTTTTATATATGTTTGTAATTAAATTCCTGTTGAGCTATTTGTAAGATTTATGGCTCAGTTTTAAGTCACTATAAATACTATTCAATATTAAGATTCACTAACACGTCAAAAGCCATCAATCAATAGCATAATTAGTCAGTGTTTTGATTCACACTTGTTATGCTTTGTGATTCGTCAAGCGAGCGTTCTTTGTTTTTATTTACATTATTTGTAAACATTGGCTTTATTAATGGCTAGCTCTTCCTGACACATATTGGCTTTTCCCCGAATATTTCATTAGGCGAAAAGCTATATCAATTAACTAATGGCCTTCAAGCAAGTAATTAACTTTCCCGCTTAAAATTATATCAGTTTCCAGGGAGTTTTCTTTCAGCCCCTGAGGAGTGAATTTACATATTGTGTTCGTCAGAGCATTGGTTCCGCGACGTCAGTAATGCGGTAGATTCACTCAGCCAGAAACAAGCAAAAATCTGATCTGAAGTCGTTTTGAACCACTGATAGAGGAACAGCCCCTTTACTTTCAAAACTTTTTCAGTCTAATATACATCCAGGTCAGTGGTATTTGTCATCATTTTCTTAATGTCGGATTTCCTGAGGTGTGTTAAGTTCGACAAATGCTGTTCAACACCAAGCAAATCAGTCAAATTTAAAGTTGGACTTTACAAAATAATATACCTTGTGCGAACTGGCAAATGTTTCAGATGTATACTACATTTGATTTGGAAATATGTCGCAGAAAGATTGATCTCTCCACAGGATAGCGCCTTAAAAACACGCACCGCTAAGCTATTACCATTTATAAGTGCGTTTACTCGAAGCAACAGATGCGTGAGAGATATGATGCATGAAAACAGAATTACGTGCTTCTAATACTCACGCAACACAGCTTGAACAAATAAAGAGACTCCCTACATTCTGTAAATTGAGAATCCAATTGATGCAAAGCGTTTTCTTTCTTTATTAGATCACAAGATATTAGGACAGGCCTAGCTCCAAGCTTGAACATGTCGTCCACGAACAGCACTAAAACTTACAACCTTTGGTCAACAAACGGTGATGAGTTTATCGCAGCCATAATTGTCTTAGGTAAGTATATGTGCACAACCTTCATTGGGACTTTAATTTTTCACCAGAATTCTGTATTAAAGTAAATTCATACGAAGTTAGTGATTTCCTTCCCAGAAATTAAATAATAGTTTAATAAACAGAAGAAGCCAGGTTGATTTATCAAAGTTAGTATATCCGCTTGACGAGCAATTCTAAGCAAGGAAAAATAAAAACGATTAAGAATCGTTTTTTTCAATTCGTATAGATTCAATTCTTAGTTTTCACGGTGAAATAGACTAGCATTCGGGTATATACTGACTAGCAGGTCCATTTGCACTAAGGTGCAACGCCCAACAAACATTGAAGAATAAAGATTTACGTTGTCCCGCAAGCATCAAGAAAAGATCAAGCTGATCAGAATACGTTCCCTATCCGTAAAGACGAATTGTGTTGTATATGTAATCGAAGCTTATCTTTGTTTCAAGCGTCAATCTTTATTCAATACGCAACTTTTTCATCCAAACAAACAACAACGGTGACTGTGTCATTGATATTGTTAGCAATTCGCCGAAGACTATTTCGTTTCAATTTGAGGCCGTTTTCAAATGCACGGATAAAAACATAGTTCCCCGAAGCTGGTTTTTATTTTTAAACTCATGAATCTGATAAGTTTGAGCAAGGGAAAGTGCTAGATTACTAATATCAAAGCAGATGGAAAAATTCAAAAGAATCACACGCATTCCCAGAATCTCAAGACAGTGTTCTCACTTCAATGATGTCTTATTGTGTATTGCTTCTTTACTTGTAACCATGGTTACCGTTCAAGCTGAAATCACAACTTAAAGGCGCTTGTAAATATTACGTCGAGAATATTGTGGGCTAAGTTCAACTTTAATATTTTTGATTAGCGTTCAAATCTTTTTTCAGTGACTTAATTGCAACTTTTTAGTCGTAGGACAAAATTTATAATAAAATAATGTGAGATAATAGGTTTACACGATTTGAAAAGAATAACACAGGCTGGGGTTCAGGTTTATCGACCATTGTCTTGACATGTGAAGTTTTATTGAAAAGGTTTATTTGAGCGTTTATCCCGAAAAACTTACCCGAACCTCCATTAGCAGCTGTTCCTTACAAAGGTAATCCCACGCTCTTCCTGCTGAAGGTTTTCTGCGGGGGAAACAAAGACTGGCTCCAGGGAGAGGCGGAAATTTTGCCTACACCTTTATTTTTCTCTCAAAATTGAATTTTTCATTCAACTGAATAATATGTGTCAATGTAGCTCTGGGATATTCTAACAATGGGAAGATCTATAAAGCCGGCCTCCGACTAATTAATTTTTGTGAGGTAGATTAATAACCAACGCCGCCTGCAGAACCAAAATCTAATATGACAGCAACAACTAACAATATCCAACAAATTCATTTTAATAATATTTCTTACATGTGGTTTAATGGGTGGGATTTGCTGATAGTAACTTAGGCATTTTGTTTAATTGGTAAGGTTTTTTCTCCTTTTCAAATGTTTCTTTACATATTCACCGCCAATCACCTAAACTGAAACGATTTTTTTTATTATTGTTATTTTTTTTTTTTTTTTTTCATGCTGTTTTCTAAGTCATAAATTCAGTTCTCTTGAGGCAGGGTTTCCTTCCACCTACTTACTGTACATGATAGAACTTTGATCACAAAGTAACTGTCAATCGGAGGGCATTAGGAACAAAATTAAACTAATGACCAATGTTTCCCTACTAATCGATCCTTCTTCTCAATAGAATGTCACTCTGATCATTAGTTTCCATGACATGCTATCACAACTCCCAAACCACAGAGCTACATTTATAAATTCCAAATGTAAACACAGAAAGCATTGAAATCGTATTTGACCAGGAATAAAGCCAAAGACAGTAAATCGTTGAGATATCACTTCACGTTTTCCTAATTAGCACCAGCAAGACTAGTTCAGCATTTAGATTTCGATATAAATAAAATATTGAGGTTCGGGTTAACTTTTTGAATGGAACAGGCTAATCCCAGTGGTCCATTTCTGTCAAAATTAGACATTGTGCTCTAAATGTTTAAACAAGTCACGATACACTCAGACCTTTTTATTTTTCTTGTTCATGCTTTCGAAAATGAAGCACGGTTTAGAATTTGGGTTAAATGAACGTTTTAGTGATTTTGTCAGCCTTGAGTTGAACAGATAAAACGAGAGCAAAACGAACTACATCACAGAAAAAAACAATTGAGAACTATACCAGAAAGCTTGATCATCAGACTCAAATCAAGTGCGCTGGATTCTTCGTTTCCATCACTGTTAACATTTTTTCAACCCTTAGTTGTTTCTTTCTTTCTCAAAATATATCTCAAGTTAATTTTATCCATCAGTGCTGCCTTGCCCATAAAATAAATCCATACTTCATGCACTAAAAATTCGTCTACAATTGTTGGGACTTCCTCGTTGATCGACTCTCTTGGTTGAGACATGTTGATGACGTGTAAAAAAAAGTCTCAGTTCTCACAATATATAGGTGCTTTTAAACGTGTGCACGACCCGTCGTTACAGTAAATACTGCATTACAAATTTGCCATGTTGTAATACAGTGTGATACCACAGTTGAATTACTCCAACCCGGTCTTGGTCTGTTTGTGCTTTCAATTAAGCGATAAACTGACTACAAAGTATTTTCCGAAGTGTTGCGTCAACGCAGTGGCCAAAAACCCAAAATGGCAGTAATGTTTTTTTTTAAACGCTGCAACAACGTGCCCCAGGCACTTAAAAGAATTTTTTGCACCACGTTTCACAGAACATAATATGCGAGATGTAACGAAGTCCGTTACAGTGGAGTCCTCATAATGGAACGCGTTGCCTCACGAAATGAAAAATGTCGGCTCTACACGACAGTTTGAAAGCAAAATCAACAGCATCTCTGATAAATCGGATTCCAACACGGCAACCATGTAACACAGTTTTATAGCTAACATTGTTCAAAAATGATATATTTCAACCTAAATGATGTTAAGTCCATGTTGAAATCAAGGCTATCTAACCTCAAGTGTTAAAATAAATATGCTTATATTTCTTTCCAATATTGCAGGACTCGTATCACTGGTTGGTTTAATCGGTAACAGCTTTGTTATTTCAATCATTGTCTCGACTCGTCGCCGTGGTCAGCGGTCTGCAGTGCAGCTATTCCTCCTCCACTTGGCGATTTCAGATCTGCTCGTGTGCGTGGTGTGCATACCGCTGACTTTGTGGCTCATTTTTTACTACCCCGAAGAAAACGTGAAAGGTGCAAGTGGTCTGTGTAAGTTCACACGATTTGTCCAGGTTAGTAGCTAAAATATCGTTTTGTGGGCGTTTCCAGAAACTTAGGACACAGTAACACATATTGTAACTGAAGAACTATAACAGTTACAGGAACTGGAATAGTAATAACATAATTTCCTTTTTTATCCCAATTCAATAATATTTTAATACAAAGTTCAGAGGAGACCGAAAACGGCATGATTCACTTGCACACTCAGCCTATTCTATGACAATGTCTCGAACGCCATTCTCGAAATTGAAGCGCTGGAAAAGAGAACTTTTATTTGCGAGGAGGATGGACCCACAACAAAAGGAAGGTATGGGGTGCAAAACATTGTAAAACTTTTGATCTCTCGGCGTCAAACCAGCAATCCTTAATAAGGGGTCGATAAATAATATTTTCTGAATCAGCTAATCGTTAACAATAATTGACATAATGTATCGATTACTACATTTACTGTTTACGGGCCGTTCGTAAAATGTTAACCACTTGTCAATTGCTCTTTCAGTTTCTGGCGCCATCAAGCTCCATGTGTTTACTGACCGTCATCAGCATTGATCGATATTACTCCCTTGTTCGCCCCCTGCAAGCTATGAAGGCCTGGCTTCGTCCTAAAGTGCTAATAACCATTGGATGGATTTACGCCGGCGCAATTTTCCTGCCCACGTTTTACTTTGTAGACACCGAAGAAGTCCAGTGGGCAAATGGAACGTTCTGGTATTGTAGCACCGTTCCCAATAACACGTTAGCAGGTTTTAGCTACCTAGTGTTCCTTTCAATCTTTGGATTCCTCATTCAGTTGGTCACAATCATTGTATTGTATAGCCGTGTTGGAAAGGCAGTGTGGAGCCGCGAAAGAAAAATTTCTCGCACGGGCACGATGTCCGCTGCAAATGTAAAGTCTCTGGACAAAACAAAGAAACGCGTTACACAAATGCTTCTGACTGTTGTCATATTCTTTCTCGTTTGCTGGGCGCCGTTTGTGATCTACACCGGCTTCATTGAGAGATATGTCGCCGACTTTCCTAACCCAGCTGATGGCATTCGAGTGATCTCCTATGGCTTTGGGCTTTTCAATTCAGTTTGCAATCCTTTCATTTACTTTTTTAACAGTCCAAGTTTCCGGAGGGATTCCTTGCGGAAAGTTTGTTTGGAGATCGGAAATCCCACGGAGGAGAGGCCGGGTGGAAATAGCGACAACTCATCAAGGAGCACCGTAATAAGCCGAGTAGATACCATGGCAAGGGGAGGAGAAAAGAGCAAAGTAACCAATGGCTTTGGAAACCTCGCTTACCAGAAAGAGACATACGACACTAGACTGTAAAACATGTCCGATATACTTACACTTAAGACAACCCTTTAATTACAGTAAGAATAACTTATCGTCACGTGTTGGTGATGATCGAGTCAAATCGGGTAATTCCCTACAATGGAAGATTTACTACACATGTGATAAATCCAGTCAGTTTTTGATTGGCAAGCTTGCCATGCCACTTTGAGACACGGCCACTTCAAAGCAGTTCATAGCGTAGAAAGTTTAAAATGAGTGGATAAGTAAAAAACAAAGAAGACAACAAACAAAGGAAACAAACAAATCAAAGGAAACAAACAAAGAAAACAAACAAATCGATCAATAATCAATCAATCAATCAATCAATCAATCATTTATTTTGACAAGGGGACTTAATGAAATCGTCAAAGACAATTAAGGTTTCCGAAAATTGCCGAAGAATCCACGAATACGTTACAAGACGGCTTCCGAACGTAAGAAAAATCCTCCATCTTCCGTAAGTTACACCTACATAAATGCCCCTCCCCCTTTTGACGGTTACCTGAAGACTCCAGAGTTCGTACAATAACGTCCTTAAATTCAACTACTGTTTTAGCTCTCGTTTTGGTTTTTCTTACGTGCCTTACGGGCAAGCAATGACGATTATTATCGTGTAATTTTGACAGCAATCTTATTTATTTTAGCCCATTGCTCAAAATAGTAATCGAAATCATGCAAACATCATACTAAACGAACTCAGTATATGTATGCATATTAATTATATTCGTTTTATTTAAATTCATACCTTGTGTCAGCTCTATACACATTAGCAGTACGTTACGGTATGGAGTTAATAACGATTGACACAAGCTCTTTTTGAGTGACTTCGAGCCGGTATAAAACGGAACTGTCCGGCCCAAGCCACAAGGGCCAAAAAAGCAATATTGTGCAGTATAGTATTATCACTGTATAAAATATCTGTAACGATTTTATAGCCTATGTATTGTAATCATAAATTTTTCCGCTGTTGTATGGCTTGAAGTTTCCGTAAATTATTGAGTGACGATTTTGAAAGAACGAAGAATTATTATAGTAGCTTGAGAATATGGCAGCGATGAGGTGTTGTAGCATCATGTTATCAGAAAATAATATTTATCTTGCATGATATGCGGGGAGTTAAACGACCTGAAAATCTGAACATCGAGGAAGGAGTTTATTTGTTTTTACTATTATTTATTCAATATATATTCAAAACGATCGACAACTACGCAATTTAATTTGAGAACCGTGTATGATGATAGAGAATGAAAATTTGTAACTTTCCTGGATGATGTATGTAACTAAGTACTATTTTTATTGTTATTCAAGAACATATACAGTACTTGAGATTCTCCAGTTATCACGTACTTGTATTTACAATATAGTTATTTCTCTAGCTAGTTTCCTCTTTGGGTAACTGGTAATCATGCACACGTACCAATATAGCCTATATTGTAGCAGTTTATTGCCAGTTGAATTAAACACTATGTTTGAAATATCGCGCATTGTTGGTAAGGCGCCGCTATATAATCGTTAGGCCGGGAAGTTACTGGTTCTTTGAGAGGACCGAGTGGAATAGCACTGCCCAACTGAGTGTGCGGAGAAATGTAGAAGAGTGACCTCCATTAGGATAGCATTAGTCACAGCCGATAGCCTTTGATTTATTTCAGTTTGACACTGATACAAACGAGGCGAAAGGGTCAATTCTGCTTTTTATTATATGGCTGAACTGGTCCGCGATGAAAAGGAGAATTCTCCTTGGTTTCCTTAGCGGTCTGCATTTTGTGATACGGACCGCGAACCCTGGAGAAATTTCAAAACTGAGTTCACTCTAAAAATGCATCAAATGCTTTCCGTCCAAACAACGCCGCAGAAATTTGAAAACGCAACAATCGCCGGTCATTTTGGATGAGGAAAACTCCAACAGAGAAATCCTGATCACATAATTATCGTGACGCCATTGTTTTCGACAACCTCCGTTTTCAAAATGTTTTCCGCCCACACTAAACGCAATGCAGGCGTTTTCAAATTTCTCCGGTTTGAAGAGAGTTTTCGAAAAGCTCCGTTTTCGTGACCGATTAGTGTGGACAGGGCTTGAGATGGGCCGCTAACGAATTAAATTTCGGCAAATTGCGTTTTCACTTCATTGCACAAAATAAACGCGCGTACAAATACCGAGAATGGATTGCGGAGACGCATCAGTTTATAACAGATTGCAAAGAGCTAAGTACTTAACTGAACTAGCTTGTTCGGTCCCTATAGGGAATCTTCGCTGACTTCATTGTTTACACTTTTCCTCATTAACATACTACTTTGCCCAGAAAAGGCATCACGCTTGACACAAATTGAATACCAAAACTTAAAGATTAACAATAAAGATTAGCGAAAAAACTGAGCAACGACGTTTCGGTGTCATCCTGGCACCATTTTCAAGTTAAAGAATATTTGTGCGAAAAGTAAACTAATTTATACCAATGGTAGAGGTGCGAAATTGAATAAATTAAGATTAA